TGCTTTCTCTTTAATTAGGTTTTCTTTCTTGATGTTTCTCATAGACCTTATGTATTTTTACTATATTTTATTCCCTTTTCATATATGCTGTTCCTAAAGATTATTTCGCTCAGTCTGTGGGCTTCCCTTTTACTCTTTTGATAAAAATCTATTGATAAGTACTTAAGCTTTCAATTTTAATGAATTATAAATTATCTTTTTTAAAAACATAATGGCTTTTCACTTTTGAGATTACATTTAAAAATTATCACCAAACCCAAGATTTTTTGGGTTCTTCTGCAATGTTATCTACAGAAGGTCTATAATTTTGTTTTTAGATTTATGATATATTTTAAGGTAGTTTTTGAAAATATATAAACTATCTGGATTAAAAATTTTTACATGTGGATATTTTGTTGTTCTTTCAACTTGTTGAGTAGACTAATCCTTTTTGATTGAAATGCCTGTGTATCAGCCAAAGATAATTTGATTGTATACGTCTGTTTTGAGCTCTATATTCTGTTCTGATCTATATGCCTTTTCCTTTATCAATAACATATTGTCTTGGTCACTGTAAACATGCAAGTAGATTAGAGTGGGTTATTGTTCCAAGTATGTTTTTCTTTAAACTCACAGTGATTCTGTATTGGGTTTCCAAGGCTGTAATTCTTATAGGAGACCTGCTTCATTTTTCTCCTGCACAGAGGCTCGTGGGTTCAAACTGCTGAACTTTTGGATTTGCAGTCCAACAGTTAACCTATCATGACACCTCGTTTCCTATAGAGAACAGAAAGTCACAGATTTTATAGCCAAAACTTCTGAGCAAGGCAATTTGTGAAACAAATTCTTCAGTAGGTTTGAAGACTGAGCATAATAGTAGGTGCTAAGCCTGGTCAATTGGACTTTCAATCCATTCTGTCATTAGGAATATATCACATCTAGCTGAGGAAAGCAGGGAATCCTTCTTAGAAGGGCAGGAATAGGCCTTTCACCTTTCACATCACTAGAGGAACAGAGAATACTCGGTACTGTCTTTTGATTTTTCACATTTCCTTATCTTCTGTAATTTAAATGAGAAATAAAAATTTTTATAGTTAGAATTTTGTTCTCAATTTTATCTCTTTGTTATGGTGATGTCCAGGTAAGTTGGTAAGTTTTCTCTTTCTCTCTCTCTCTTCCTCCCTCCCTCCCTTCATTTTGGAACTTGCTGTCTTTTCAAGCTCTTGTAGGAAAATTTTGTTTTATGCTTGTTGGTCTTACGTATTTATTCCTTTTTATTTCTGTCTAAATAGTACTTAATAACATAATATTTTAAGAAATATTTAATAATGTTGCTATTTTTAGGTGCTATCATGTCGAGTATGACTCATATAACTATTCTAAATAACAGACTCGAACCTTGTTCTGTCCCCTGCCATCCTCTCAGCATCTCTGAAACACTTGAGCCCATTGCTGTAGTCACCATGCCAATCCATCTCAGTGGGTGTCTTCACTTTCACTGACCCTCCACTTTTACAAGTATACTATCCCTTTCCAAGGAACAACCTCTCTTAACATGTCAAAAGTCTGAGAAGCCCATTCTGAATTCACAAGCAAAACTGAGATAACTGTAAATTGGACTTTGATATTAAATCAACTAGTATATAACTAGTTAGCATAACTTTGGTTCCCAAGTTAAAATTTTGACAGATGACTAGTTTTAGATCTGTCTATGAACCTCCGTTTCGTCTATAAAATGTAAATAGACATCATGAGACCTACTGAAAAGAATTTTAATAATTCAATCATTTCTTTCAAGATGAATTTGGAAAAAAATTAGCAAGGTGCCTACACATAGAAATTTTCATAAACCTAGCCAATACTGGGCCTATTGTTTTCATTTCAAGAATAGCTTTATATGCTTATTGTATCTCCTAAGCGCCCTCTGAGGACTTGAGAAAACAAAGACTTTTCAGTCATTATTGTATCTATTTTTTCCTGTAATCTAGAATGTCCCAAGGGTCAGAACAAAGAGAAAAACTAAGCTCTGGAGGAGTTACAATTTTTGGTTCCTGGAGAGAGGCCAAGGGAGCAAGAGCATCTAGGGAGAAGGCAGCAGGATAGAGTATGTTAGGGGGAGGAGGGCTCACAGTGGAAGATCTTTGGAAATGACAGTATTCGTCTTCTTGGGTCGATGCTACTCCTCTTTCATCTCAAGTTGGCCTGCTTTCTACACCTCCTAGAGGATCCTGCATAAAACCTTTGAGTTAAAGACATGTGAACTACAAGGCAAAGACACATCAGAAAAAGTCAAATAAAGAACACTCTAGTGATATAGGTAATTGTCCTTGAGACTGAATTTTGGTCTGATGGAGCTTTTCTGGGAAGGAGGATCCACTCAAGTAAGCACATGGTTATTACAATTATAATTAGAAAGGCTCTATTCAAATGGATTATGCCTTAGTGCATTTATTTTTTGATTAATTGTTAATTATGTATCCCCCTATTTTAAAAAAGAATGAAAAAAAACCCAAATCCTCACTCAAATTAACATTCTAGTTTTCCATTTACATAAATGTCTCTGCAGAGGTGAACACAGAGGCAAATGCTGAGCTAAAATTGGGTCTTAGGAAAACTTGGCCAGAACTCTCTTCAGGACAATGAGCCTCCACAATCCAGAAGCAAGGTGCCTGCAACTGCATATATAACATTTAAACATTTGTCAAACCATACACCAGAGATTTGTACATTTGACAGTGTATATACTACACTTAAATAAAAAAAATGTTTGCAAAAACTGAGGGAGGGGACAGTAATGTAAGATGTATGTTATAGAGACAACCAAGTAAAACACACAATAAGCAAAAGTCACTGAACTGATGACAAATCACAGTTGATTTTCATAAGAAAGAATTTATGAAAATAATTTCAGTAGCAATAGGTTAACAGCGAATGAAACACAGAAGACAAAAAGCAGTCTTAAGAATATTCTATATTTTATTTTTCACTCTTCATCATTGTTGCTCTTCATACATCTTTCCTAGTGTTTTCACAGTTTATCACAGGTGTTTCATCCAGTGGTATCACAGAGCAAGGATTTTCTAATTTCTATTTTTTCCTAACTGTGGAGCTCTTTCTATTTCATTCAGTAAGTTCCTGTTCTGGTGGCCTAGGCAGTTACATTGCCAACTCGAATGGAAGAGGTTTGAATCTGCAACTTGGGAGAAAGATTAGCAATTTCCTCCAATGTGATTTACAGTCTATCAAACTCACTAGATGTTCAACTATGCATTGGTTCTGTCTGACTTGATGACATTGAGAAAGTTGTCTTGTATTCAAGATTTTTTTGTTTTGTTTGAAGATAATAATTTCCAGTTATACTCCAAGAATTTGGTTTTTCTAGAAAAATACCTGAAGACTCCAACCAAGGGTTGGTACTGACTTATGGTATCAGTCAGTGGTAGGTTTTCTAGGATGTAAGTGGGAAGGATAATTATATGTCACATAGTTAGGATTGAGAACCAGGGTAATGTTTGCCTACTGTTAAGTTATTATAAAAATATCTCTATTGCGGCAAATGGTATCCTGAGATCAAAATTCCATCTGATTTACCCTATTAGTCAAAGAGACCAGGTCTTTGATGAAAATTTTCAAAAGGAAAATGCCCAAAGGTAAAAATGAGGGAACTTCTCAAACTGGAAGCATTTTAATGAGGGGAATAGGGAATGATAGATAAGGACAGACCAACTTTGAGGCTTGGAAAATAGACATCTTTCATTTATGATAATTGGGAAATCATGAGTACTGTCAATAAAAATCACATAATTGGTGTGGTGTTACCCCAGGCTAAAGAGGTATTCAAGATTAGAGCAGGGGAGAGGTTTAAAAAAAATAGATGATCAATTGTATTTGCTATGGTCTAGTCCATCCTGGGATTTTGATTCCAGATTCAGTGTCCAGTGCTCTTCCCAGGAACTGAACTGATCTGATCTCTGTAGAATAAAAACCAAGCTGAAACAGAATGAGTGGGTATTCAAAAGGAGTCTGTCTTTCATCTTTCTATTTTTAGCTTCTAATACTAAGTAATTGTTAAAGGAAACAAAGAGCTTTCCTGTTTATAGCTACTGCCTGAGACGTCTTCAGCAACAGATCATGGAAGGATAAGGTAAAAACTACTTGCGAGCAGAGATGAGTTTCATTTTCTATCTTGACCTGCATATCACACTGTCTTAGAAAATATTCTTTGGTGCAATCTACAATTATGTGATTAAGTAGGGAAAATAATTTTACTGCTACATTTTATTGAACACCCATTATCTCCTTTGATTACTTACTCATTCTATGGGAACTTCAAATATATGTCCATTTTCATTCATGGATTTGTACACCATAACTAAGGATCCCACACTTGGTATTAAGAGATGATGTGCATGAGCTTTTAAGCAAAGTAATATAATATAAAAATTTATTTGTTTAAAATTTATAACAAAAACAGAAAACCAAACAAAACTGAAAATAAAAAAGACCCAAGTGCATAAGAGTGAGAAAAGGCAATGCATTATATTTGAATTGTCACTTTATATCCCTCAGAAGTCAACAATGGAGGTGCCATGGAAGCTCAGATAAGAGGAATATAAAAGTTTGCACATAATACAGGGGATAATATGGAACTGAGGCTTCCCAGAGGGTCATCTTTGAAAGGCTAATAGGAATTTGTAAGGCAAAGAAAACAATCAAAAGTAGGATTGAATGATTTGTCAGATAGTTTTCTGATCCTTTGTTCCACTTCGCTGAGAGTAACACTGAACTCTGTCAATACCATTGTTTTTGTTGTGTGCTGTCCAGTTGGAACTGACCCATAGCTGACCCTTCAGCAGATTTTCTCATGGTAGGAGATTGTCCATCTTTCTCCTGTGGAGCTGCTGATGGATTTGAACCTTGTGCCTTTGGGATTGCAGTGCAGCTTCATACCACTAGGCCAGCTGACAATAAATGTTATTATTTCAACCTTTCTTTTTTTAAGTATCATTTTGTATATCAACAGGATAACTGTCTCTCCTATGATGCTAGGGCTACACTACAACCTCACAACGGAATCCCCTGCTGCCTTCTTCCTTGTGGGTGTCCCAGGACTGAAGTCCTCTCATCTGTGGCTGGCAATCTCGCTGAGTGTTATGTACACTGTGGCCCTGCTGGGAAATAGCCTCATCATGATTGTAATCTGGGTGGATTCCACTCTTCAAGAGCCTATGTACTGGTTCCTGTGTGTTCTGGCTGCTGTGGACATTGCTATGGCCTCCTCAGTGGTACCCAAGATGGTAAACATCTTCTGCTTGGGCGATGGCTCCATCAGCTTCAACAGTTGTTTCACTCAGATGTATTTTGTCCATGCAGCCACAGCTGTGGAAACAGGGCTGCTACTGGCAATGGCTTTTGACCGCTATATAGCCATATGTAAACCCCTACATTACAAGAGAATTCTCACACGTCAGGTGATGCTGGGAATGAACATGGCCATCACTATCAGAGCCATCATATTTATGACTCCACTGAGTTGGATGGTGAGTCATCTACCTTTCTGTGGCTCCAATGTGATCCTCCATTCCTACTGCGAGCACATAGCTGTGGCCCAGTTGACCTGTGCTGATCCCATGCCCAGTAGTCTCTATAGTCTGATTGGGTCTTCCATTATTGTGGGCTCTGATGTGGTCTTTATTGCTGCCTCCTATAACCTGATTCTCCGGGCTGTCTTTGGGCTCTCCTCGAAGAATGCCCAGTTGAAAGCATTAAGCACATGTGGATCCCACCTGGGAGTTATGGCTCTGACCTATCTACCTGGGATGGCATCCATCTATGTGGCTTGGTTAGGGAAAGACCTAGTGCCTTTGCACACCCAAGTACTTCTAGCTGACCTATATCTGGTCATCCCACCTACCCTCAACCCCATCATCTATGGCCTGAGGACCAAACAAATACGGGAACGGATATGGGTTTTGCTGATGCACTGTCTGTGAGCCCAAAATCTATTTAGACTGTCGATCTTTTTCCCATAGAGCAGCTGGTGGATTCAAATTGCTTGCCTTTGAGTTAACAGTGCAACTCCTTACCCACTAGGCCACCAGATCTAACATATGTACACAAGCAAGCAAACTGCCATCATGTTGGTTCCTACTCATAATGGCTTTCCATTAGGCTTTTAAATCTTTATGAGAGGCGACCATTCAATTTTCTCCTTTGAAGTAGCTGGTGGATTTGAACTGTTGACCTTTTAGCAGTGCAAACTGTAATGATGCACTATGCTAGGAGAGCTCCCCCATCCTAGACATTTCCTTCCAGCATTTCCAGCAGGAGCATACTAACCTAGCATTGTTTCACTCACACAGGTATTCTGTATCTATATTGGGCCCATATGTGGTAATAAAGTATTTATTGAATTCTGTTCTTTCCCAAATGGTCTGGTTTTCTACTGCAAAGCAAAAATAATATCTTGTGCTTTTTTACAATGCATTCAGACACTCTGTCCTAGCACACATATTTCTTTAACTTGTGCCTGACACCCATAGTAGACTCTCAATGCTTGGATTTTTAATGTATCATAAGTAACACTGCTTGGAAAAGATTGGAAGTGTGTTTTACTGCAGAGATTTATTGGACCTAAGAGTTGCTCTTGTTTCCTTCTCTCGCAAACCTAAGTATTTTACCCTTTATGTATCTTCTCTCCTACAGGGCATAGGCATTATACCTTTTGGTTTTTCAACTAGTAAAATAAGGATGGAATGTCAGTCTTTTTCTGTAAGATTATAGACTTGTAAATTCTATAAGGCACTTCTACTCTGTCTATAGGATTCTATAGGGTTGCTGTGAGTCTGAAATGTCTTGATGGCAAACAACAATGACAAAAAAAACCCCAAAAGTGGGCAATGTTTGTCTCTATATTGTCTTGCTCAGGGTTTAAAAAACCCTCTCATTTTCTAAATATCATGAACTAAGACATGAGGTAGACAATATTGTTGTTGTTGCTGATTGCCATCGAGTTGAACGCGATGCATAGTGATTCTATGAACATAAGACCTAATGCCTTTCCATAACTATTGTCATTTTTCCAGGTTCATAGAGTTTCCAGAGGTATGTGGTTTAGGAAGTGGATGTCATTCCTGCTCCCAAATCTGTTTTACAACTGGGAGCTCCACCTCATTGTCCACAATGAGAAACCATTCTGGTGTTTGATACCCCAATGGTACAAGGTTTAGCATTACAGCACCCAGGTTACTTCGTACTGCACATTGACAAAGAATGATGTATAAGATGGAAGAGTGTTCCTCCAGATATAACAGCACTAGTGTCATTTAGCAGTGGTTAAGTGTCATCAAGTCGAATATGACTGAGAGTAAGCTTTGCACAAAAGACCTGAACTCTGTTCTATAACTAACATAATTTCTGTACATTCACAGAGTTTAGAGAGTTTGTAGAATTTTCAGAGGCATCTAGTTTAGGAAGTGGGTGCCCCTCCTGTTTCCCAGCACAAATCAATCTGGAAGCTCATCCAAACATTGTACATAATGCACAACCATTATGGTATTTTACAAGACTATGGGACAGTGTGCAGCATCAGAGCAACACCAGGTTGTTCAGTTCAGCAAATAGAAAAAAGATTGCTGTACTATTTAAGGAATAGTCATTCAAAAATTAATAAACCCCTGTGGAGTTTTAAAGCCACACCTTTGAGCAGACCTCCACCCTAGGCAAAGGCTCAAGGACCCTGCTCTTGGGGGAAAAAGAGCACTAATACACACCAAAAGCTACCCTTGTGTGCCCAACAGGTAGTTTGAGTTAATTTTACAATTCTAGGAAGTAATCACAATAATGTAATCAAATTATGGAAAAAAACCCCACCAAAAACATAATAAAAACCCCAACCAATCAAACAAAAACCTAGTACATTAATAATGAGGGGATTACACTTTCTAGTTATTTCAGGTTTGTATGGATTTATCAATGAATGATTCTCTTTTTTATAACCATCAGACTTGTCCAATTTAAGCCACAGTAAAGACACATTGATTTAGCCTCTAGACTCTTCTACTAACTGTGCATAGACAGAACCAATATTGCTTCCTAAGGATTTCTTTCTCAACCCTTAACAATCCACTAGAGTCCACACACAAAGATACACAGCCCTTTTATTACAGCTCAACATTTTTCAAGTCCAAGCATGTGACCGACCACCTCCTTTTCCTCTGAGCAGTTGACAGGAACTTCACCCGTTCTACTGGTACTGCTGAGCAGCTTGGAAGTGTATGTCCAGGCAGAGTTTATTGGCTCCTTTGTATCTTGCTTTACTTCCTTCCTAGGTATAGCCATACTACTAAAGTAAAAAACCTATATCTGCTATTACATATAGGTAATTGGCAGCTTCTTCACTTTTGTCTAAGGAGCGTTGGTGGCAGAGTGAGCAATAGATCAGACTGATAATGGGAAGATCAGTAATTAGAATCCTCTAACTGCTCCTTAGGAGAAAGGTAGGTAATCTCTTCCTGTAAAGATTTATGGCCTTGGAAACTGGATGGAGGGTGACTGCTGTTGGACGGGAATCGACAGCAGTGGACTTTGTTTTGGTTGCCTCTGTCTAATGTCTGACTTAGGATCTGCTCTGTGCTCTTTCTCATTTTGAGTAGGAACCAATGCACAGCTGACCCTCCATTGTGTTTTGGTTTTAGTACAATTTTAAATTGTGATTTTAACGAACGTTTACAGAGAAGTTAGATTTTCATTCCTTCATTGTTGCACATTTTACTCCCTCTTCCACCTTTTCCCCTCCCCCAGTTCACTTAAAAAAATTATTCATTGTTACAGAATTACCTACCTCCCTCAACCCTAGTTGTCTTTGCAGTGATATACCTCTTATACCTGTTGTCGAACATATAGTGCCTAATCGTACTATTCCTTTTTGACAGTTCTTTCATTTGTTCCAATGCAATTGTCATTATCTATCCATTCTTATCTTATTCTCCTCCCAAACCCCCCATGTCAGACCTGCTTTATAACAGTGGTGCTCTGCAGTGTTTGCCTTTTTTTGACTGAGATATTTCATTCAGCATATGCTCTAGAGTCCCCCATGTTATGTTTTACAAGTTCATTGTTTTTCAGTGCTGCATAGGATTTCACTGTATGAAAAGATCATAGTTTTCCTGTCCATTCATTTGTTGATGAGCACTTGGGTTGCTCCCATCTCTTAGCTATTGTAAATAACACAGCAATAAATATGGGTGTGCATATATCTGTTTAGATGGTGGTTATGGTTTCTTTAGGTATATTCCCAGTAGTGGCATTGCTGGGTCCTATGGTATTTCTATTTCCAAGTTTTTGAGAAAGTGCCAAACCACCTTCCATAGTGGTTGCACCATTTTACACTCCCACTAGCAGTAATAAGGGTTCCAATCTATCTACAACCTCACCAGCATTTATTGTTTGCTGATCTGTTGAACTTTGTTTTTGTTATTGGGGTGAGATTCTATCTCATAGTTGTTTTGATTTACATCTCTCTTAGAGCTAGGGATTTGGAACATTTCTTCATGTGTTTGTTTGCCGTCTGAATGTCTGCTTTGGTGATGTGTCTGTTCATATCCTGTGCCCATTTTGGCATTGGGTTGTTTACCTTTTTCTTGTTCAGGTGCTATTCTATAAATTTTATCAGATATGTCATTACCAAATATTTTTTTTTGCAGTCTATGGGTGTTCTTTTTACCTTGTTGGAGAAGTTTTAAAAATGCATAGGGATTTGATTCTTAGAAACTCTCATTAATTTATTTTGTTCTTTCCTGGTTGTATGTTTTTCATTATGCTTGGAAAGCTGTTCATACTGTGGATTAGGCTTCTAGGGCTTTTCCAAGTTTTTCATTAATCACATTGGCATAAAACCACCATGAGTTTTGGTTTTTGGATATGGTGTGAGTCTTGCTTGAGTTTTCTACAGATAGTTTTCCAGTTTTGCCAACGTCATTTCTCCACTTAACTGATTTTGTCTTCTTTTCAAGAATCAGTTGAACATAAGTAGATGAGTTGATTTCTGGGATCTCAATAATATTCCGTTGATCTGTGTCTGTCACTGCACCAGTACCATGCGCTGTCTTGACCACCACAGTTGTGTAGTTTGATTTGCAATAAGGGAGTGTGATACCTCTTACCTTGTTTCTCTTTTTCAGGAGTGGTTTCCTTATTTGGGGCTCTCTTTTCCTTCCAAATAAAATTGGAAATTGTCTTTTCCATGTCGATGAAGAACGACATTGGCATCTGTATTGGGACTGCATAGAACTTGTTGATTGCCTTCTGTAGGACTGTAAATTGTAGGGCATGAGATTGCCCATCTTTCTCTGGTGAAGCTACTGGTGGATTCAGACCCCTGGAAAAGCTTAGTCTATGGGTCAGGATCCAACCCCCTTTGGGCTATACCACCAGAGCTCCCTTATACTTTGCTATATAATCCTAATTTACCAATCACTGTCTTAAAACTTAAACTACAGCAAAGGTATATATATATAACATCACTGTGACAATATGCAATGAAAATAAATTGAGCCTTCCAGCAATAATAAAAGTCAGTAACAATAACAAGCTTTGTAGTTTGTTTCTAGCCACAAATCATTCCAACACCATCCTCAAGATCTGTATGGAATTACATTTGCACAATATTATGGTCACATAGAGAAGTCACTCTAAGGCCAATATCACAGATTTTTTTGGTCTTAATTCTATCTATCTATCTATCTATCTATCTTCTCATAAAAAATCATTTTTTGCACCCAGTTCAAGCCTTTCTTCTAATACTTTCTTCTCTCTATTTCTCTTGTTAAAGATTCAAAGAGAAAGGCAGGGAGGACATTGTGCAGTGATAGAACTACAAAGAGTCCCCTGCTGAACTCAAAAGATCTAGGCTTTAGCCAAACTGTTTTAAATGTGAGTCTTCTTTCTTTTCTCCTTTTTATGATCTCTTTTGATTACTTTGAGGTTACAGTCCCCATTCTATTCCAAAGACAAACACACATAATGAGATGTACAAGATACTACTGTGGCCCAGGGTGTGCCATTGCTGTGGATATCTGGTTTTGTTTAAAGTACTCTGGACTGTGAGGAGACATCCTAAGGAAAGAAGCATGCCTATGAAAATGCTGATTATATGTGTGGAGATGGGAAGGTGACCACATTAAAAATCCATAGCTTATGGCCCGCCTAGCCAAGAGAGACCAATGAGCCATCCACCACTGGAACAAGGTGCAGCGATCACTGGCCTTGCCTTGAAGGATAGAAGGTCAGTACAAGAGAAGAAGACCCTGAATGAAGTGCTATGACACAGTGACTGTGGCAATGGGGTAAGGTATGTTATAGATTGTGAGGTTAGCTCAGGATAGGACAAGTTTCAAAGGCATTGTTCATAGGGTTGCTATCACTGTCGACACATATAACACATAAAGACAACATCTTTCCTTGAGAAATGAGCAGAAGTAAAGGATGTATCCACGATTTTTATAACAATCTTGTGAAGTAGAGAGATATATGCAGTTTTTATATCTATTTTTTCCAGAAAGGAGGCATAAGACCTTTGAAATATGAGATGCTTGAGACCCAAATGTCATGAATGATAGGCAAGTAGGTATATAACCTAAGAAAATAACTTGCCAATTTTCCTTCATCTGAATATGAAGAACAGTTTATAATCAATTCTTTTACAGCTTATTAAGAAATAATTTGCTTCTATTAAGGCCATTTCGGTTTCCTCACCCATATTGTTGTTGTTTTTGTTATGTGCTGTCGAGTCGCTTGAGACTCATCAAAAGCCCTAAACTCTGTTCTGTCCTGTGTCAATCTCACTGTTTCCAACACACTCATCCCAATTACCCCAGTCACTGAATTAATTCACCTCCTAGAGGGCCTTCCCCTCCTGCGCCTGCCCCCCCCCGCCCCCAAGCATGATGTCCCTCTCCAAGGACGGTCTCTCCTCACAACATGACCAAAGTATGTCTGACAAAGCCCTAGAATCCTTTCCTCCAAGGAGCAGCCTGGCTTAACCTTCTCCAGGACGAATCTGTTTGTTTTCTTAGCAGTCTATGGTACCCTCAATACTCTTCTCCCACACCAAAGCTCAAAGGCATCAATTCTCCTTCTATCCTCCCTAGTCATTGTCCAACTCTCTGATGCATAACAAGTGATTGCAAAGACCATGGCCTGTATCAGATGCACTTTAGTCTCCAGAGAGACAACATTGCTCTTCAGTACTTTGGAGAGGTCCCTAACGGCAGACTTTCCCATCATAATAATTCGTCTTTTAATTTCCTGGCTACTGGTGCCAACAGTGTTGACTGTGGAGCCAAGCACTAAAGCTGTGAACAATCTCAATCTCTTCACCATCCATCCTGATGCTGCCAATTGGCCCAGTGGTGAGAATCTTTGTCTTCTTGATATTGAGCCTCAATCCGTATTGAAGGCTGCAGTCCTTGACCCTCTGCAGCAAGCGCTTCAGGTCCTCCTCAGTTTCAGCAAGCAGGGTTGTGCCATCTGCATAACGCAGATTGTTGATAGATCTTCCACTGATCCTGTTGCCCATATAGCAATATAATAACCAACGCTCACAGGTTTTTTGATCTTGCCACTTACAGAAAGAGGCAAGTCTAGGAAACAAGTCAAAGATATAATGATTTGGTCAGTTAGTACTTAAAAAGGGGGACGAAGAAGTTCTGTATTCTATGTTTCATTGTACTTCTCTAGTCAGGAGGTCAGAGAGCAAGGGTCAAATAGAGTTGTGACAGTAGCAGCAAAATGTCAGGTGAGGCATCCTCTGAATCATATCAGCCCAGCGACCAGTTCTGAATGCAGATAATATTTTTTAGCTTGTTGGTATAAATCTATCTGAAATGATTCTGGATCTTACATCCACTTCATCATACTTCCTGACTAATTATGGCACTGAACAGAGATTGGGAGAGAAGGACATAAACTAGAAAATGGGAAAATTTCTGACTCTTATGCCAACATGTTATCTTAGAACTGCCCCGATATTGCCGTGTTTCTTTCCTCAACAGGGCTGAGATACTCATTCAGCCAATCTATTAATTTTTCCCACTAGTAAATTAGTGACAGAATTCATCTGGACATAAGAGACCACTGGAAGGAGGCAGAGGAATCTGATCCTAAGTCCAGCTCTGTTCAAAGGGGCACTTGTCAGTGGCAGGGTTTTCCAAGACTCCTATGGGCCAGGTGAAGCCTTGAAAGTGTCTGGCTAGGATAGTAGCTCTCTTAGTTCTCTGTGTCCAGAGAGCAAATGGTCAAAGGAGCAGTGTTACTGATGCCAATGCTGTAGCAAGGGCTGAAGTAGGGCAGGAGGCGCCCTGGAAAAGGATTGTGGGGGAAAGTGAAAATGTGGGAGCCATTGTCAGTCACATTATAGAAGGAGATATCATGGGCTTCGTAATCTAAGAAGACTCCCACTCGTCGTGGAGGTACTGATATGGACAGGAGTGGGTATTCATCAGTGCCTGCTCTGTATTCATCTCCCTTCCTCAGTCTTATCACCCAGAATCCATAGTGGGGAGACAAATAGACCACTTCCTTGCGGTCTACGTCTTCTTTACACAGTCCTAGGCCCCATTCTGAACGGTTTCCCACCTCCACCTCCCAGTAGTGCTGGCCTGAGGAAATATACTGGCTTCCCAGGACAATATTGTAGCGGTAAAATCTCTCAGGATTGTCAGGCAGGTTCTGCTTGGTGTCTCCATAGCACACACTTTTTCTGTCTTCGGACACAATGAGGCGGGGGTAAGCAGTGTCTGGATCCAGGTAAACATCAGCTAGGGGAAGAGAACCTGGTTGTTAAGATGGATGCAGAGCCAGTGGAGAATGGGCTAGGTCCCACCAGTAAATACAACCGTAGGTTTCTTGTTGATGGACAGGGTCGGGCTAGATGAGGCATCCTAAGAACACCAAGCCATTTTATCCAGAGGCACCTCCCCAATCTCATCCCATTCTCTCCGAGATTTGTTACCTGCATATGTCTTCAGGATCTCTCTAAGGCCTGGTACACGACACTCTGTCTTCAGCTCCAGGGAGACCGGTTCTGACTGCTGGAGGATCCAGGCCTTGCTCCTGGCAGAAGAGGATAGATTCTAAAGTCTCAGCTCTGCCTCATGGGCCATCCTGTAGCACAGGAAAGAAGAACTTGGCCAGACCATTTGCAATTTATACACAAGAATATCTGCATTCCAATACGGTGGAAAGGCTTTAGGCACATTATGTACTAGAAGACGAGACCTCTACAAGGAGAAAAGCTGAGACTCAAAGCTTAAAGCACTAGTGGAAACAGTTCTAGTCATTTTAACCTTTTAGACAACTGGACTGAAAGCACATATGCTGTAATGTTGCCAGAAATTCTTGCTAATAATACATGAAATGAATTTGGCCAAGTATAAAGAAGAAAAAGGAGGTACTAATTTGACAGGGTCTCAAATTTTACATGAGTAGTTTAAAGGTCTCTGGTTAAAATGGGAACTTTCCTGGGAGTTTGTGGCCAGAGATAAAGTATTGTTGGCTCCAATTCTGTAACAAGGCCTAAAATAATGCAGGAAATGTCAAGGAAGGGATAGCAAGGGAATGTGAACATGTGGGAGCAATAGTCAGTCACATTATGTGCTGCTTTTAGTTAGAGTCAACCTAATGACAACCAAGTTGGGTTTAAAAATTAACACTTCTAACTGGGGGTGGGGGTAGGGTGGGCAGGGAGAAAAGTGCAACAATGAATGAATGGAAATCCAAAATCTCTGTAAATGTTCATTGAAATGAATTAAAAAAAACTGCTTTCGTTCTGCTGGCCCCTGGCTAACCCTGACTGTACCTTATAGGGCTCCCTGGAGGATTCAAAGATGGGCACATACCTGTTTAAGATTTCCTGAATACCCTAGAAAGAGAAAAAGAGAGAGAGAAAGAGGAAAAAAAAAGCATCATATGAGTCTGTGTAATTCCAGAGAGCCCCAGACACTGAGCTCTGGCCAATCTTCCCTTTATGGGAAGGGGAAGCAGACAATAAGATCAGAGTGAAGGTGCACAGAGGAGCTCATGGAAGGGTAGCTAAGCAGGCTGACATTTTGCTGGACTGGTGATTTTTAGGTTTTATTTCAAGGTTCTCAGATTAGAGGGGAGAGTCTAGTATGATCTATGATCTGCTTTAGTATCACATCACTTACTAACTACAATGGCCAGACCATCCAACCAACTCGACACAGCAGAGTGAACAGGTATTAGCTAGGGATGTAGGAAATTTTCAACTGATTGGGCATTGAGGGGCCCTATCGAAGACCAGACAATCTTCTCATGTTAAATCCAAAGCTATTTTCAGCTCTCTCTCAGGGTTCCCAGTAAAACCTGCTACTTACCTGTAGCATCCACCGCAGAGGCCTCTGAAACCGTTCTTCCAGCTCTGCAATCATTCTCCATAGGACCCGGCTCTGCTGGACTAGCTTATCATGATTCAACTCCAGTTTCCTCATTGTTTCCTGCTCTTCCTGCACTAGGCTGGCCAGAGCTGCGGCTGCTTCCACCTCTAGCTGCTGACTCGGTATCTGTTTTTTCTTCAGTAATCGCTGATATTTCTCAAACTCCCAAATGATACTCTGCTTTCGTGTTTCTACTTGTATCTGCAGAGCCAATGTTGGGAAATTAGTGGTAATATTGTCAGTACCATAATCATTTGCATACACACATACTCTGGAATTTTTTGGTACCAATAATGTGCCAGGCCCTGTAGAGATACAAATAAAGGATGTTGTTTCCTAGCCTTCTATTCCCACAGACAACACATGCCTTTGAGTCTCTATTACTACTGTTTTAAAATCTGAGTAGGTACAGTCAGGGCAATATTTTGGTATTTCATGCTATGAAAAGAGTATTGAATATACCATGGACTGCTAGGAGAACAAACAACTTCATCCTAGGGAGGGTGAAACCAGGCTGCTCTTTGGAGGCAAGGATTCTGAAGCTTCGTCTGACCTACTTTGGACATGTTGCAAGGTGGGATCAGTCTTTTGAGTAGTACGTCATGCTCAGGAGGGTGGAGGGACAGGGCAGGAGAGGAAGACCCTCGGTGAGATGAATTGATTCAGTGAGTGGGGTAATGGGGATAGGAGTTTCAGAGACAGTAAAATTGACAAGGGATAGAGCAGGGTTTAGGGCTGTTGTACAGAGGGTCTCTATGAGTCACAGGCAAGCTGACAGGACATTTCAACAACAGCAACACGCTGTCTACTATTTCTCATTTCGAGTATAATTCTCAGATGTGTCATAATTTCCACATCTAGTCCTCTGACCCAGTTGTAACTTTACATCATAAAGTAGGTGTGCTTTTTTCCCCCTCTCTTTTTTCTGTACACCGTTGTTTCGGATCTGACTGGCACAGGTGGAGATTGTCCCTCTTTCTCCAGCAAAGCATCTGGTGGATTCAAACTGTGTGCCTTCAGAAGTGCAGTAGAGCTTCTTGCCACTAGGCTACCAGAGCTCCCTTTGGCTTTTTGCTTCTTGATATACTGACCTTGAATTGATGCGCTTTTTAATATCAGTTCTTTCTAACAAGTCTCAATTCTTATGATTTGGTAGTTATGGGCCTCAAATTTATATCACAGGTGATTTTCCAAACACCAGGATTTGTTTGTTGTTTCTTTTTTCCTTCCTTTTTAAATACAATTTTTATTTTATTCTGGTTTACTTGCAAAGTTTGTATACATTGTTTTCACACTGCATCTTTCCCATTTCCTTAACCCACCCCTCCCTCCTCCATCAAATTGTGCGACCCTATGATTACCGCCCCCCACCACCACTCCCATCCTCACCCCTTTGTTTCCCCCCTCCCCCAGTTGGATCCCCATATACATTTTACTAGTTATTTTTCTATTTCTACAATAATGGTCTTGTCCAGTATTATATTAATAACCAGGTTACTCTAGTAGCCTAGTGGTTAGAAGCTGTGCTGCCACCCCAAAAGCACATGGTTTTAATTTACCAGCTGCTCCGCTGGAGAAAGATGGGCAAACTCCTTTTGTGCAATTACATTGTCCCTGAAACTCACTGGAGGGTCAGTTATGAGTTGGTTCTGACTTTATGGTACATAACAACAACAACAGCAACAACAACATTATTATTTTAATGGCTGAACTCTTTCCAAATACAAACTAGTGTAAGAAAGTGGAGCATAAATTATGTTTTACTGAGCTTTATATAAGAAGCTCTGGTGGCCTACTGGTTAAGTAACTGTGCTACAATTTTGAAGGCACATGGTTTGAATCCACCAGCTGCTCTGCAGGAGAAGGATAGGTAATCTTCTCCTGAACACTGCCTCTGATAACCTGCTGGCGGATCAGCTGTTGGTCGGTTCCGACTCGACGGCACTCAACAACAAGAAGCAGCATTATAAAAGATACACTCATTATGAACTAACATATAGGAAGTAAGTACTTTTCCTCTCTCAACATATAAAGGCATAAAATCAGAGGTTATCCATACTCTGTCACCAAGAAACTAGAATTGAGGGACTATGTGATCCAAAGTCACACACCTGGTAAAGGTGGTATTAGAACTCTTATACTCCACTTCAAACCCCACATTCTGCTTCAGAGAGGAAGAAGCTACAATGAGCTCAACACAGAACAGGAATGACACAAACTCCCTTCCCCAGAGGGTAACCTGCCTTCCACGTGGCAGTTCTTTTCCTTTCACCAACTTCCAGCTTCCACGCAGCTTCTTGCTCTTTCCTCAGATGTTCCAGAGCCTCGTGGAGTTTCCACTGTAAGTGATAAAAACCTCATAGAGTCACCTTCTTAGCATTGGCAGATGAGTGGAAAACCAGTGCCTCTTAGCTAATGGAGCAGAATGAATGCTGAAAGAAAAATGGATGGTATCGAGTGGAATATTCCTGCTTAGATGACATCCAAGGGAGTTCTGTGTTGAGAATAACTTTGCACAATTTATAAGCTCCTAAAATGTAGAAAAAAAGGGCTGTTTTCAACCTTGCCAGAATAAACTTTTAACTTTCAAGTTCTCTCTATCACAAAAATCAAAACATGTGTGTGTTGTATACTGAAAGTCAGACAATGAATAAAGATAACAGAAGAATCAATGACTTTGAATTGTGGTGTTGGAGAAGCATATGAAATATACTCATGATTGTCCAAAGAACAAACAAGTCTGCCTTAAAGGTAGTGCAATCAGGGCGCTCCTAGAGGCAAGGATGGTGAAATTTCATTTTCTGTACTTCAGGCATGTTGTCAGGATGGCACAGTGCTTTGTAAAAGACATCATGCTGGGAAAGGGAGAGTGTCAATGAAAGAGAAGAACAACCTCAATGAAATGGTCTGCAAGAGTGACTATAACAATGGACCTGAGCATGGTGAAGATTGTGAGGATGGCACAAGATAGGGTAAGGCTCAGATCTGTTGTTCACAGGGTTGCTATGCATCGTAGTTGACTTGACTGCACTTAACAACCACCATTACCATTTCACCTCAGTCTTTATACAAGTGAAATCATAAAAATTTTGTCTTTCTGTGATTAATTTATCTAATTCAGCATAATACCTTCCAGATTAATTTACATTATGGTTGATTTTTTGGTGGTGAATTTTTTTTTAATAAGATACCTTTAAGAATTTATGTAGTCTGCAGGGACAGTTTCACTGCTAAACCAAAGGCTAAGTCTCTCTGATAGTTTAAAACCATGAGGAGTTTTGTGGCAGAAATGTAAGAAATTTCTTCCTGTGCAATTTCACAGTCTTAGAAACCCTATATAACCTTTTAAAGGATGGTAGGTACTACTGTTTAGCACCTTATCATTTTATATGCTG